AGGGAGCTTTGCCAGAGTATCCATATATATATTGGATATAGGCCACACCCACGAGGAAACTCCCCTTACAACTGACTGGTTGATCACATCATACCGTATCATAGAGGATGACTACATCATTACATAACTGCCAAACCACTGAGAATCATGGCCCAGCTAAGTGGATGCACAACCTTAACCACTACACCTTACTACCTGCAACTTTTCCTAGATTTATTCTCTCTGAATCCTTAATGCGCTTACATTCTGTACTGTGCCATTTAATACCTAACTACATGCTTCCTTTCATTGCTCTTTCAAGTGTATTTCCACCTATTTTCTAAACCACTTAAGGAAGGGGCAGAGCTCATACCTCTGCATCTCACAACTTGTGGCTAACTTCTGAACACATCATTACATATGTACTCAATGAACAACTGGTTTTCAGTTGGTGTTCAAGAAATAGTGGACTGAAATATTACTTATCTGAGAGACAATGAAATAGTCTAGAAAATGAGCCTACGTTTTAGAGCTAGGACTGTCAATAATACCATTTGAAATATTATCTTTGAAAATATTACCTCTGTCCATTCAAACAGTCCAACTTAAAGGACTTTAGTGAAAAGTTGAGATGATGCCCTTAAACCCTTCCAAGTTTCCAAGAAAATGACATTCAAGCTTTTTCATTTCCTGGATCTCTTCACTTGACCAAAATTTTCCTTATGCCACCAACTGAACTCATTTTTTTTTTTTTTTTTGTAACTTAGACACTACTCCGTAGCACACGAAATTTTCTCCAAAGAATGTTGTTGTTGTTGTTGTTAGTTGCCATTGAGTCAATTTTGATTTATGGGCCCAATTTGTGCATAGAACTGCTTCACAGTGTTTTCAAGGCTATGATATTTTGCAAACAGATCGTCAGGCCTGTCTTCCCAGGATAAAGTGGGGCCATTCTATAGTACGGCTGATCTGAAAGACTGGATAAGCCATGGAACACCAAACTGAGAAGAGCAGAAAAGAGCTTTTTCTGCTCTAGAGCTAAAGATTATAATAGAGAAAAAGAAATAGAATATTGAAAAAGAAGAAAAAGAGATGGTTTGACGTCACTTCTATAGTCTTAGTCCGTGCTGAGTTTCCGAAGAATAGAGAAACTATAAATAAGCCCAAAGTATGTGTACATCAAAAAAGAGGAAAACAAATATTAAAAACAATTAAATAACTATAATAATGAGATGATGTGACAGGAAAAAAAAAATCACATTAGTGAGAATTTTTGGAATCTTTTATCTTTGTGTAAAATAGGTAGTAATTCTAGATTTGAGAGATGAAGGGTTAACACTGACAGTTTAGAGAATAAGAAAAATTAATCCCCATAGCTTTTAATGGGGAAGCCAATGCAATAACAGAAATCAGTTATTTTTAGAGACTCACAGAAAATTAGATGCTGAAATTAATGAGATTTACAACTAGATTATTTTAGAATGAAAAGTGTCTTAAAAACTACTGTCACTCAAAGATGTAATAAATGCACTAGAGAGAATATTAGTGATATGTGAATAATGTCTCTTTTAGAGGATTTAGGGATCAACTCTAAGAGGTCCTTTTAGTCTCTCTTACTTCAGCTATTAATACTATCTGTCCTGTTTGCTACAAAGGGAAAAGGGAGTGCATTAAGTGTCATGGCTTTATATGCCTGCTATTTCCTTATTTATTTTTACTTATGATACCCAATGATGGTGTATTTGGAGTTTACTGACATAATAAGTGGTGTTAAGAGCTTCTATTAGTGATGCTTTTATTGACTCATGGGGTTAATAATTTAAAGATAAGAAATGATAATAACTGACAGCACATCCAAACCAAACCTGTTGCCATTGAGTCAATTCTGACTCATAGAGACTCTATAGGACAGAGCAGAACTGTCCCACAGGTTTCCGAGGAACGTCTGGTGGATTTGAACTGCCGATCTTTTGGTTAGCAGCTGAGCTATAAAATCATGCTTTAGGCTAAGGCCGGGTATCACAGCCTTGGCACTATTAATCTTTCATGTCTGATAATTCTTTGCTGTAAGGGACTGTCCACTGCAGGGCGTCTACCAGCATCCTTGACCTCTACCCACTAGACGCCAGTAGCACACCTCTTCCTCTCCCAGTTGTGACAACCAATAATGTCTCCAGACATGGTTAAGTACCCCTAGGAGGGAAGGAGGGTAAAATCAGGCTCAAGTGAGAATCATGGGCTAAGGGTTTATATTAACAGAAAAATAAAAGACTGCAGAATTTGTTTTATGTTAGAATTCTACTCTCATAAGACTATTCGTTCTGTGGTCTAAAGACCATGCCTAAACCATGTCAGACAGTGAGGACTCTATCCTATTTTTAAAAAGAACTCTGCCAAGTCATCCCTAATTTAAATCTTCTACAAAAACCCATTCCAAAGCTTAACCGCAAATTTCGTTCATCTGAATGACTTTGTATCTGCAACATAGTAGTGATTAGTTGTGAGATTCTGTCATCGAAGGTGAAACTGCACAGGGAATTTAAAGAATTAAAATTGGTGACTTCACAGTTGCTGATGAAATATGTAGATTTTAAGCTTTATAATTATACACTGTATTATAACATGATATAAAGTTATGATGGTAATCATGTTTCTAAAATGCTTTTCCTTTGGAGATAATACTAACTTGCCAAATTATACACAAAAAAATTCTGGGAAAGTCCTCTTCTTTTTTGCCAAATTATCTCTTTGTTCAAAATGGGACTGGCCAAAGGTATCGACTAAAAATGTAAGAAACTACTACCATTATTTTCAAGTGAAAGAAACACTGACTTCCTTCTGTATACTCAAATTACTTTCAATCAGTTTCAGATTCTTGAAAGTCACTTAGAGATTTTTAGATGGTTAAATACTGGAATTACAATGATTACTAGATTTAATAATTCAATAGTTTTCCTATCCTTGAGAAAATTCATTAGGATGCATTGCCAGAGACCTCATTCCTTTATCCTTTAATACAAAAACCCTAATCTCCAGAATTTGCTTACTGATCGTATTAAGAAAGAAAAACCTGTGTTTTGTGATGGATAAATGGCACTACAAAAAGTCTCTCTGATGCAACCTGCTAGATTACTCCTTCAAAATGATCTTTCTTCCTGGTTGGTAACACTGTTTTGGTTCAACAAAACTTTTCCTAAATGAAATGCGGTTGTTTCCTTTTCAAAATCATGCTTTTGATGCATTTGAGGACACTTGAAAGACAGCCCCCATGCATTGACTTGATTGGGATGGTAGCAAGTCACCTAACTCAAAATTCTGAGGCATGACAGAAAAGGAAAGAAATAAAGACAGGAGGGAAGAAAAATAAAAATCAAAACGACAGCTCTTAAAAGGATTAGAATTTGACATATTAGTATAGGGTTGAAATCTTTTGTCTGTAATCAAGTATAGAATGTATGTAACTCTGATCATGGGTCCCTAGGGAAGAGGAAAATGATGGTAGAGAAATAAAATGCTAATTACAAAGAAACTCTAGAGTAATAATAGTCATTATTTCCCTAAGTTTTCTTTTACTCTAATACCTCCAAGTGAAAGGTAGGATTGGGAAGTGGTAAGAAGTGTAAACTTGAAAGTAAAACATCTGCTATCTACTGAAAATGTGCTGAAATTGAGATAGTTTGTGATTTACACATTCAGACTTGGGGGATGATACAAAAAGGCCTATTTCACCTCCATAACTTGCCTCTCAGGAATGGACAGGCTAATTGACCATAAGATAGTGTCTCTGTCATTACGACTCACTAAGTAAGTGTTTTCAAGGATATCGGAAATCTTAACGTCTGGAACTCCTTTGGTTGTCAAAGTATGATAAGACTCCTTTTCTATGTCTATAGTGGTTGGGCAAAAGAAAGAAGAAAGACTACAAAAATCTAGAAAGCATTTTCTCCTATATAAGAACAGAGAAAGAAACATACATCTGGCAACTGGTAGAAGAAAAAAGGGAAAATTACAAGATGAGGTGTAGTAGTATAAATACCACTAAGGATCACTGGATTTGCCATATCCCTTTTTATTTGTAGGATTAGAAGATCATAAAATTTTTTAAGTTATATTACTGCACAAGGAACTCAAGTCCCATCTTATCTGCCTCCCATGGTACAGGTCTAGAAGTTCTCTTTCCTCTGTTTAATGACAGACTTAAATTCTTCATTGGATTCTGGATTCTGTGGCTAGAATAAAGTCATATGAGTCTCTCTTCTCTGGGATAAAGAGACATATAGGATGGATGAATGTAGGTGATGGGCGGAATGGAGATGAAGTGGGTCCTTCACTTTTAGTAATGAAAAAAAGATAGTGTTCCATGGGCCAGCAGTTTTCAACTGCAGTGGGGCAAAACAAAGTATAACTGGGAGACTGGTGGGGGCAGATGTCAAAATAAAGCCAAAGTACTGGAAATTGGGAATCCTATCTATGTAGCACCCAATAGTTGTGATTACTGATGAGAGCGTGTAGAAAGTATGAGCTCTTTCCTTTGGGTGTGTCACAAGGGTAAAAGCTGCCACCAGTGACACAAGCTGGTCAAGAGGAAACAGAAATGCCCATACGTGACACAGGTGTCACATTCTTCATCACTTCCTCTTAAGGGCCACTCCTACCACCCTTCCCCCTGAAGGTGCCCTTCATAACTACAGATAGATTAAAAACGACAAGGAACTGCCTTAACTAAAATCCTGTGACTCAAATAGTGTGTGTATTTATCTTCCAAAGGAAGCAGATGCTGTGATAAAGAAAGCACAGGACAAAACAATAAACAGAAGAACAATGACAAAAAGAATCTGGAAGGGTTTCTAAGGTGATCTGATTAGGTTATATCTTTGATCGAAGTAACAATAAAGTTGGAAGAGTAATGGGTGTGTACCATTTTTGCATGGATTTACAGACTTCTTGTGTACATTCAGGTAGACAGGTGATGAAAGTTAATAAATTGGCTTTCTCTCCATCATCATGTAATGCTGCCTTACCAAACGTTCGTGTGGATGCAGGCTGCAGTAGCTGCTAGACTGTGGAATATGAGAAGAATTGCCCAACATTCCTCCGTAGCCAGGCTGATTCATCCCACTGGAGGAGCTCCAAGGGTCACTGCTGTGATGGCCATCTGTAAGCGACAAAGAAAACCAGGACTTCTCTGAGGCATTCGGCCTGGCCTTATAAAATAGGGGTTTTTCATATACTTAAAAATGACTGCCTGCTGTGTATTCAGCTTTGTGCTGGTTAGCTGCTTACATCAGAAGACAGTCGTCATTATTTTCCCCACAGTGGCTCTACAATGTCAAACAAACATTTCACATAGTTAAAATGTTCTTTGTAAAAATTCAACTGGAAAAGAACAGAGCATGTTTCTACACAGAACCACGTAAAGTCTTCTGCAAAGAACCATGTAAAGTCAGCAAGGTAACCTATGCTAAAGGAAGCAGTTTCAAAAGTTTCCTAACCTCTTTTCCTATAACAACCAACCGAAAGTTAAATTGTTCCTAGACTTTTGGGTGAACGTAAGTATTTAAGAGATTATAAGGTTGGCAAGTTTACAGTTTTAAAGGCGTACAAAGAAATAAGTAACAATAAAAAAAGAATACCTCAGATTTGAAAGGTTGGATTTCATTTTTGTCACATACACAGTAAAAAAAAAAGGGAATTACTAAACGGTATGTAGGGAAGAAGAGTCTCAAACAGATAGTCCTTTTTTTTTCCTTTTGGTATATTGGTATATAATGATCATAAGCTTTCAGTAGCAATTCAAGGAGTACACACGTATCATAAGGTGGAGATTATGCTACAGACAATTTTGAGAGCGTATGAATTTCATGAAACTATTTATGAGTTAAAAAGAGGAATAAAATTATATGATGGATCATTTGTAAGCCTACTCTTAACCTTCTGTTAATACCATATTTAAAACACTCCTATAGATTTCTTTTCATCTTTGGGCCTGCTGGCCTAAAGGTTAGTATTAAGAGATTGTTACTGTTTGGTTTGGGATTCTCAAACTTAGGGAAAAAAGCAATCTATGTTACTGCTGAACTTGCTCATCTTTTACTACTTTCATTAGTTTAACAAAAATTATTGAGTGCTGGACGTGTATACCACATCACATACTGTTTGTTAAATGTACAACATGTACTGCCTCCTGGAAAATATAATTATTTTTACTGCAATGTTTTATTTAATAAGGGCGTTTTTAAAAATTTAGGCAATAGGCAAGTTAAATCTGACACTGTATTTCATGAAGCTCTTTTTCACTGAGTTTCTAAATCTAGAAGTTAGAATTCAGAAAACTGGAATATTTTCAGAACGGGTAGGAATAATCTGTAGATTTCTTTCTTTAAGAACTCCACAAGCAAAATCATGTCTGTGATTTTGACAATTTAAGAGTTTTAACTAGAAGATGGAAATTGAAGATAAAAATAAGAGGCCACAGTAGTGAGTTTAAAATAAGCTCCAGACACTCTCTGAATATCTTCCCCTGAATTGCATATTCCTTCAAGACCTGAATTTTCAGGGTGCCATGTACCTTTCTACAGAAGGAAGTTAGCTTGAAATGGGACCATGTTGCACCTGTTTTTGTGGCCACAATGTTAAAATACAGAACTTAAGAAAAATACTTAATGCTTTAGATCTAGTCTTGGATTAGGGGAGTTTAGATGTCACCTTAAATTCAAACATGAAGTTCAAGACCACTCACATTTAAAATAGATGGTACATATGACAAATACATTGAAAACATATACCATTGAACGAGAGTCTCCTGAAATAGTATGACAATGTGATGTATTATATGGCAATACATTTAGGATTTGTTAACACAGAATACTCTAACTCAATGTAGACTTATAAAATACGTATTTTACATAAATTATGCTTTTCAGAGGAAATTAATATTTATCACATCCCCATGATCTTAGCATAATGTTGTTTTGAAAGAATAGAATTAGACGTGTGCAAATTAATTGTGCTCATCATGAATGTCAACTCAAAAACAATTTTTTTTTTTTCTTTTTAAGGATCATATGCAGAAAAGCAAATTTGTTCCCTACATTTTGCCTAGTCAGCTATGGATAAGACCCTATTGTTTTAATATACCTGGTTTCCCGTATAATTTGCAAAAATCAAGCAAGCCACCCCCTTGAAGGCAGATAGAAGAAATCTGTCCTTGTGTCAATTTTCTCAATGTAAGTGTGTTTTAAGAGATGAATCCTTGAGTTGACAACCTCTATAAGCTCTGGTAGCACAGTTTCTCCCACTGCTCACAAAAGAGGGAGCTGCTGGCTGCTATTTATAGCCTTTGTAATGGCACAGAACACACTCAGGGGACATAACCTGCTGTTCTCAGTTGAGGGTTACACCTAGGACAGGCCACAAAGGTATAGGATCCCTATGAACATGAGCTCCACTATGTATAGAATAATGTCTCCCTATGGAGCCCTGGTAGCGTACTGGTTAAGAGCTACAGCTGCTAACCAAAAGGTAGGCAGTTCAAATCCACCAGCTGCTCCTTGGAAACCCTATGGGGCAGTTCTACTCTGTCCTATAGGATTGTCATGAGTCGGAATCAACTCAGTGGCAGTGGGTTTTTTTTTTTTATTCTCGAGGTGAAGGAGCCTTGATGGCACAGTGGTTAAGCACCTGGCTGCTAACCGAAAGGTCAGCAGTTCGAACCCACCAGCTGCTCCATAAGAGAAAGATATGGCAATCGGCTTCCGTAAAGATTACAGCCTTGGAAACTGTATGGGGCGGTTCTACCCTGTCCTATGGGGTTGCTATGAGTTGGGACTGGACTTGACGGCAATGGGTTTTTTTGCTTTATTTCCAAGGAACCATTTTCATAGATTTTTAATGGAATTTCATACGTGAACTAATGACCTAAAAGAGCTAACACTCTGAGGGGAAGAAAATCGTTTAATGGGATGATTTTGAGTGTGTCCACTGTAATCTAAAAGGGACGCTGGGCTGCTCCTCTGGTGCTCACTGCCCCAAGTGCACACTCAGCCTGGACATGGCCCTTCCTAGAGCAGCACAGAGAAGGAGGTCCTAGGGCGCTTTGCCAAGGCACACTCCATTTGTTTTTCAAACCCAAACAACAAAGAGTTAACGTTCTGCGTACAAGGCTTCTAGGTGAATGCCACACCTAAATTGCAGGCTATTAACTTAGGAAAGAGATTATCTCATTTTAAAAATGCCATAGGCTTATCAGGGATGGACTCCTTAGCTGTACCATCTGAAAGGTCCATTCCTGCAAGTAGCTGCTGTCATTTTGACCATCCTGGTCTTTTTCAAGGAGTGGAAAGGGGCTGTGCTACCAGTGGCAAGACAATAAGTTTTGGGACCACGTATCCATCTGTATCTCATTAATGAAAATGGACAACTAAAAGAATAAATAAACTTTATCTACCATGAAGCTCTAACTTTCTACATTTGTTCCTAAAACAATATTGGATCTTTCACCCCAAACCACTTAGCATGTTGGGATAAAGGTTTTGCTGTACAATAAAATAGCACTCGGTCTTTAGATAGATGGTGTCATCTTAAACGGGACTCTTATTCTTACCCACAAATTGATACTAGCTGAAAATTTTATGTAAGGTTATACATGACGATGACTTGTGCCCACTTAGCTAAGTCCAGAATGCTCAAAATATACATTGAGCTGAAACACAGATACTCATTTTTCTTGGAGATGGTAAAGAAGCCAAAGTGGTTAAGTTATGGAAGGCCATCACCCAAGTAGCATCCATTCTAAGTGAATCAGATCAGTCTGATCTTAAATCATCACTGCTCAAGAGGCTTTACTATGAGAGAAAGTCTTCGTAATGGTTTAATTTTTTTATTTTTAATGAATTCAATTCCTAAGAAGAGCATGTCATCCAGTATGCTACATCTGCATACTTGTTGCCGTTGAGTCGATTCTGACTCACAGCAACCATACAGGACAGAGGAGAACTGCCCCATAGGGTTTCCAAGGAGCAGCTGGTGGATTTGAACTGCCGACCTTTTGGTTAGCAGCCGAACTCTTAACCACTCCGCCACCAAGGCTCTGCATTTGCCTACCATATGATTTACTGGATATCACTCAAGCAGTATTTTGTCCCATGCAAGACTTTTAAAGACTGAGGAAAATTCTGTCCTGTGACTTTCCTGTAGGAGAAGAAGCAGCATCTTACCTTGCATGAAGAAGGAGCTAGGGAAAGTGCTGGCTGCTGGTTTTGAGGAAGGATAACCTGGCGAGTCCCTATTGTAGTCGGCAGTGCTTGCTGATGGGGCATAAACCTGAGGAAGGAGAACCGATTTAGTTTTGCCTTCTGCACTGACCAAAGTATATCAAGGTCCACTACTATATAAGAAGCAGGAATAAAATGCTCAATTTCTACCATGTCCAGTCTAAATCTGAGCAAAGCCTAGAAGCACTGCTCCTTCCTTTCAGAATACAAAACAACAACAACAAAAGCCCAGTATATTTACGTGAATGGAAAATAAAATTTTAAGGCTTAAAAGATAACCAAGTATGCTATTTTCCAGTTATAGACAAGAATAGTGCAACCATGTCCAGTTGTAAATACACTGCATAATGCCCATAGGGTGGTCCTGGGAGTTTAAGCATACTTTTTTTTTTTTTTTTAAATAAACACAGATGCACCATGGCCATGAAACACCCATCAAACCTCTCTTTTTTAAAAAATTTTCACTTTTACACAGAGAGAGACAGGGAGAGAGGCAGAGAAAGAGGAACATCCAGGCCACAGAAAATGATAAATATATCTTAGAATATTAAATCCCATAGTGTCAGCCTTTTGCAGAGATGCATGAAAAAGGCCATTAAAAGCCTGGCTCTACATAAGACCACCAACAATCAGTGTGTGCACATGAAGGGGGGGAGCCCTCCTTTTTAGTACTTATTATATTTGTGTGTGCAATAAACTTATAAAGTGTGCCAAAAACCTGATTTACATACATTCGCTTACTAATACTCAGGAGACTTGGGGAACTAGTTCTTTATAATTAGCCTGTGTATTTTCTTGTTTATGTTTCATTTAAACAAGACAGCATACTAGAAAAGCATAAATTCATAAGGTATAGTTTAACTTTAATTGGTTTTCCCCCTTGCCTTTTTTGCTAAATATAATTTTTTTTTTAATCCCCATTTTCTTTTGCTCCAAAAGTTCCTCTCTCCAGATGGTCGGAAAGACTGAAACACTGTCATCCTCTTGATGAAAATGGATACCTTCCTGCCTCCATTTTGAAGCAGGCAGCAGCTCACAAAATTGGCAGTGAGCCTACAGTGATATTCACAGGTCACAGTAAAAGAAAGAGAAATTCACCAATAAAAAGGCAACTGCAGGGTTACCAAAAAATAACTCTCCCTCCCCTTTTTTTAAACAGCACACATCGAATAAACACCCTAAGAAAAATTATATAATTGCTCTCAGAACACCACGAATCACAAACTAAGCATTAATACAAGGTTTAGGATTTCACAAAGGATAAGTCCACAGAGACAGATGTGGGAAAAATGCACACACATACGGGCAGACATACATCAAATAAATGCTACATACGCCCCTCGGTGCCCTTGAAAATTGGGAGGTCCTGGAGATAAAACAAAACGAAAACCAACCAGAGAAACCCACTCACACTTTAGAAAACAGGAATTTCCCGAAGTCACGGAGGGATATAAGCCCTATATTTCATGGGATTTTTAAAAATTTTCTTCACATTTTAAATGTATAAACAGTGATTTGCTTCTGAGCTCACTATTTCCTCAGGGCTTACAATAAAGGAAAAACCGGTTTTCAAGGATCTTTTTCAGCAATATAGAATAAAACGTAAATCAGAAATCCAAAAACAAATCAAAACCCAAAGTCCTCTCAAGCAAAATCCAGTATTTTCTTGAGAACTATACAACTAACCAACAGGAAATACTACCAAATGTATTTAAAGGAGGTCTTGCGACTAAGATGAAGGAAACCATCACCTTCTAGGAAAAGAGGAAATTAATGATTATATCATCTCATTCTAATGACAGAAAGAGCATAATAACAATATAACTTATCTACATGCACTAATAATCTGATCGCTATTTGGTCAGTGACATTAATACAACCTAAGTGTACTATATATTACGCTCAATTATCGGAAATAAATGTATTTACTATATAAAACTGAAAATAAGACTCTAACCCATATAATTAAATCACCAGATGTTTTAAAACAATTGAAACCAATACTTTTAATAATTATTGTTTTAATTATATACGCTAATATATTACATTTAAACATGTATATTATTATGAAAACACCATCTGATGACACCTAACAAGGTTCTTCTTTTTTTCCCTTTAGGTAGAATTACCTGTTATTTCTTTTAAGATTTAAGGGGAAAAAAACTTGGTTTAAATTTGGTCATTTCAAAGGATATTACTTTGGTTATCAATTATGATCAAGCTCAAAGATCTAAGGGTAAGACTACTTACCTCGAATTCATGAAGAAACTATCTATGGGGTTAAAAAATTTATTTAGGATATGTTAGACTACATGATTTCTATTTTCCTGATATAGTAACCAAATTAAAAAAAACAAAAACGAAACCAAACCCGTTGCCGTCGAGTTGATTCCTACTCATAGTGACCCTAGAGGACAGAGGAGAACTGCCCCATAGAGTTTCCAAGGAGTGTCTGGTGGATTCAAACTGCTGACCTTTTTGGTTAGCGGCTGTAGCTCTTAACCACTATGCCACCAGGGCTTCTAGCCAAATAAAGACTACTTAAGTAAGATGAAAGTCTTCATTAACAGGAAATAGACCATTGCTTATAGTTGTTATTTTCTATTTTTTTTAAAGGCAATTACTTTACAAATTTCCTCCATTTTACAGATCAGGTAAAATGTTATTCCCTTCCACCTAGACACTTCATCTTTCTCATTTCCAAAGTTATTTTTTAAATTAAGCTCTCTATGTATTTATCTAAGGAGCCCTGGTGCCACAATGGTTAAGCGCTCAGCTGCTAACCAAAAGGTCGGCAGTTTGAACCCACTAGCTGCTCCACGGGAGAAAAGACCTGGAGACCTGCATCCATAAAGATTACAGCCTCGGAAAGCTTCTGGGGCAGTTCTACTCTGTCACCTTGGGTAGCTATTAGTCAGAATCGACTCGACAGCACCTAACAACAACCTATATTAGTCTATATAAATAAATTTTGGCTAGAACCCTATTCCTTAAAGTTAGAAGAAATCAAGGAATCTGTCTCGTTCAAACCTCTACATTTTAGATATGAGAACACTCAGTAATAGAATGGTCAAAGAAGAAACTTGCTAAGAGGAGATACAACTATCCACTACTCTTTATTTCTCACTATTTGGCAGTTTTCTTCTTTTACAATCTAGTGTAGGTATAAGATGATCATAATGTTTGTATTTTAATTTATCTTTAACATTTTAATCTTTAATAACCCAAATGATCTACTTTGTTATTTTTACTTCAGTAAACTATTTTGCCAATTTCTCAAACAAGTCTTCAAAGCATAGGTTTCAATGAGGTATTTAATACATGACATTAAATTCGGTAAGAAAAGTTTACATCTGTTTGCTTTAATTATTATTATTCTATGTATACAGACAGATCACTAACATTTTTGTTAAATAAAATAGTTTTTATTTAATTAATTTATCTATAAGGAACATCCCAGGTCTCTTCAAATAGTTGGCATTGTTTCCAATGACTAAGAGCAGAAAATCAGTCCAGTCAATCAAAAGTGAAATGAAAATCCCAAATTATGAGTACAATGATTTGAAGTAACCTCAACAAGGAAATATGAGGAAAGTCTAACAGGCAACAAAAGTCTGCATCAGTTTTTCTCCAGTCAAGTGGCTTAGATCAAGGTGACTGCTGGCATTCTGATTCCTCCCACAAGACTGACTAAAGAAGTGTGACATTTTTGTTGCCAAATTGGAAGTGGGGAAACTTGGCTGAGGCTCATAGGCCACAGCATTTTTACTGAATTATTTGTTGAATCAAAGCTTTCTGGAAAACTAATACCAAAGTATACTGAAGATTCAAAGTTAGCATCACTGTCTTTTTTTCTCAGAACGCTGAAATTTAAAATTAAAAAAAAAAAAAAAATCATAGATATAGAAATTTTGAGTTTTACAAAGCTCTCTAGATAACACTAAAGCGTGAATAGATAAAAGTGAAAAGTGCTTTTGTTTTACAGATTTAATTTTTGTGATAATTTGAAAAGTATTACTATAGGGCATTAACTGTTCCTTCCAATGTTCCTGACTCTCCCTCCTTCTACTGTTATCAAAGAAACAAGTATATAAGTTCTTCTAAGTAGAGAGGATCTCCACCTCTTAGAAAAGAAGAAAACCAAGCAAGCATGAAAACCAGCAAAGGGAATCAGCATCCTACATTTTCTCCTTGAGACTCTCATCTTATCAGCCTTGGCATAGCAGTTTCACTTACAGACCTTTAAAAAATAATAACAATAATTACCATTTGTTTAAAATGAGCCCTAGTGGCACTGTGGTTAAAGTACTCAGTTGATAACTGAAAGGCTGGCAGTTCGAACCCACTAGCCATTCCATGGGAGAGTACATAAAGATTACAGTCTTGGAAACCCTATAGGGAAGTTCTACTCTGTCCTTCAGGGTAACTATGAGTTGGAAGCAATTTGACAGCAATGGGTTATGGGATCATTTGTTTACTGCCTCTGAATAGACTTTGTGCAAGGCACTTCCTAAACATTATTTCTAACCTTCATAACTATCCAACTATTACTAATAGCATCATTCCTATTTCACAGGGCTGAAGCATGGTAGAGAGATCCAATGTATTGACCCAGACCAGGCCGGTTCTGACAGCCAGCTGCACCATGTATTAGCTAGACAACCTTGAATCTGTTACTTTAGTCTTTCTGATATTCAGATTCCTACCTGTAAAATGGAAATGACAATACCCATTAGCAAAGTTCTTGTGAGATTAAATGGCATTATGTGTGTAAAGCAAACCGGAATGATATCTGGCACATGTTCAGCATGTAAAAAATCACAGGTTATTGTTTTTATGATCTAGACAAATGTGACTCTGAAAGGTTAAGCCACCTTTATATGTTAAACAGTTATTGATTTTTTAAAGCTAAGGTGTGAACTGGTCTCCAAAGTCTTATGTTCTTTCCATCAAAAAACAATCCCTTGCTATTCAAAGGCACACACACACACACAAAAAGGTATTTGTCACTATCAGCATGAAGCTTTACTTTGGTCATAGGTTACTGAA